CGATCACAAGTGACAACCCGAAATTGCACATGCCTGCATGTCTCGTTGAACCATATTTGTTCGCATATCTTTCTGTTTTCCCCCGTGGAGGTGCGTTTTCCAACCCAACATTGGTCCTCATCCTCCCAATCCCGATGGTTTTCAGGCTCCCTCCGCCTCTTTCATCGACTCCTCTCTTCCCTGTTCCTCGCTTCGTAACGTTTATGCAGGCCCAACTGACCACGGGGATTACGGGTGGGGAAGCAAGGGCGTTGCGATGCACAACGGGGACGTGAAAGTGAACGCAATCAGATAATGGCCAGGATGGGTGGGAAGACTGGGAACGGGGCGGAAGAAAGGAAAACGAATTGTCAAAACGCGCCCCCCCCCTTGATAGCTGGCATACGCGCCGCGTCACGACTTTCGATGCTGCGCACCACTTCGACAAACTCCCAGGGAGCGGCCGGTGATGCGCCGCCGGCGTCCTCGATTTATACGAATATCATCGCAATGTGGGACACCTCATCTCTGGGGGCTGCATCGGGTGCCTCGTCCGTTCCAGAGCGCCCTTCGACGCTCCGGGAGTGTCTTGGCGCGCTGGAGCGATTCACAGCCTGTGAGGGGACTGGTGGCCTGGGGCACAGAGTCGGAGTGGAGAGGGGGTGTGTTTCAGTACGCGCAGGCTCTGGCCCACAGCGACCAAAAGTCACCCGCAAGCCTACAAGGCTGCAGAGCAGTCGCAAGACACGAAGGGGAAGGGGGAATAGAGAGAGAGAGAGAGAGATAGCGCCACCTGGGGCGCTGTGGAAGTCAAAAGAGATCTGGACGACAGCCAACCAGCTGGAGTGGAAAGGGAATGCGTTTCAGTACGCGCTCGCTCGGTTTTCATCGAGTGTAGCACTGTCGCCCCCAAGCATAACATGCTGCAAAAACTGTCGCTAGACACAAAGGGACATGTGGGGAAAGAGAGAGAGAGAGGAAAAACACAAAGAGACAGAGAAACGCAAACATCCCATGAGGTGGGTTACACTAGCAAGCCGTTCTGGGCCTGCCCGATTGCAGTCGGTCTGCTCCACCGACCTCGCTGTGGTTGAGATGGAGACGGCCCTCAGGGCGCGCGTGGGACCTATCCAGGACACTGCTGGACGAGACCTCCATCGACAAGGGCACAGCGGCATCGACAGCTGTTCGTCACCATCATCATCACCACCACCACCATCATCATCATCATCATCATCATCATCATCATCATCAGCATCATCATCATCATCATCATCATCATCATCATGATCAGCATCATCATCATCATCATCATCATCATCATCATCATCATCATCATCAGCATCAGCATCAGCATCAGCATCATCATCATCATCATCATCATCATCATCATCATTCTCATCATCACCCTCCTCCTTGAGAGAAGAGTGGACGGGCCTCGACTGCTCGAACGGCACGGGAACCTTCACGTGCCAGCGTTCTCTCCTGCAGAGCTGACGCAGAACTTAGAACGGCGAAACGAATAATCGGCGTTGCCCCCCTCCTGCTCCTCATTCCTCCCTCCTTCCCATCGGAGCGACCATGAGGGGATGCCATCTTGGGCCGTCCTGGTGCCTTCAGGGGCCTCGCGGGGCGGCCGCCTGAGGCCTCCTGAAGCCTCCTGAAGCATCCCGTGCAGCCGGGGTACTTCAAAATAGTCGGCAGGCGAACTCAGCAAATCCCCGTGGCGATGCCAAACCCGAAAATCCAGAGAGACCTGAAATCGAACACCGCCCGAAACTTGAAAATCCGCAGGTGCGAAACCCGAAACCCCAAGAGCGGCCAACCCCGACGCCCCAGAAAGTCAGCATCGTCTCCGCATCGTTCTCCCCCACCCCTCCCTCCCTGCCTCCTCCCCCTCCTCCTCCTCCTCCTCCTCCTCCTCTTCCTCCTCCTCCTCCTCCTCCTCCTCCTTTCCTCCTCCTCCTCCTCCTCGGCCTCGCTCCTCCTCCTCCTCCTCCTCCTCCTCCCTCCTCCCTCCACCTCCTCCTCCTCCTTCCTACTCCTCCTCCTCCTCCTCCTCCTCCTCCTCCTCCTCCTCCTTACTCCTCCTGCTCCTACTCCGCTTCCTCCTCCTCCTCCTCTTCCCCCCTTGCCGCGGCGACGGCCGCCGGCGGCGCCGGCGGCGACGACGACGGCGACGACGTCGACAGCCCCGCGCTGCGCCCCATCCAAAGAGCACCCACAGCGGCCCGAAGGCGGGCGAGCCCTTCGGAAGGACCCTGAGAATCAACAAGACGACGACGGCGACGAGGACGAGGACGACGACGAGGACGACGGACGCTCTCGGACGCTTTGGGATGCTACTGGAGCATTATGGCTTCATGTGGTCTCGTGGCGTCTCTCGGGTCCCCGTGTTATTCCTGGGGCTTCTTGAGACTTTCCAGAGCCTCCTCGAACCTCGTGGAGCCTCGTGAGATATCTTGGAGTTTCGTGGTGTTGCTCCTGCGGTGTACACTTGCCTTGTTAAATTATGTTCACATATGCATATATGTATGTATTTGTATTCACATCCTATATCGATGGCTTCGTGGCGTCGCTCCAATGCGACACACTTACAAACAATGTTGCACGGACTCATGCGCGTAGATACGTGCACACACACATACACACAAACGTACCCACGCGTGCAAAATACCTGCGCCCAAATGCAATGTGCTGATTCCCGCGTGACTTCGCATCCGTCGAGCGACATCGGATAGCAATCATGGTGCCTGTCTTCTGGAGCTTATGTGGTGTGGAGCTGGCAACTCCAGTTAAGGCAGAATGGATACGATCATTATCTGCACACCTCTCCCACACAAATGAACACTGGGGCGCGAGAAACACCCTCTCGACGTAGCAGAAGGGTCTGTTAATGCACGACAGAAGAGCCCGTCCTCCAGCTTGAGGCCCAGAGGCATTTCCAGTTCGATAAAATACACCTTCGATCCAGCTTCCTGGGGTCTCGGACAAATCACGCATTGTCTAGCGCACGTGCTCTCAACTCCCGACTGTCCATCCATCAACCCGTCGCGTTGCCCCTGCTGCTTCTCAAAAGGTCAATTTCTCGATCCTACTTTCCCTCCGGCTCCTGTTCCGCGCCCTCTTCTCCTCCCCTCATCTTCATCTCAGTCATCGTCGTCGACCTCCTCCTCCCCCGGTCCGACTCATCATATTTTACTTCTCTGCATGCACCATCCGCCTCCTTGTAAGAAGCGGGGATCATTGAGAAAATTAAATGTTCTGTTCTCGTGCAAACTCGTGTCCCAACTCGGTTGCAACGTCGAGCTGCGCTGATCAATGCTTCAGCTACTGCTCATCAACCTCATCCACCTCAACCTCCCCGTGTTCATGTTGTTCTACTCGAAACATCAAGAGGCTGGCTCCGCGAAGAAACGAGGGAAGACAATGTCTTTGAAGGTAATGCCCTTATACCTCCCGGAAGCTGCTGATTCTTTCTGTCCTTGCGAACAGCAACACCCCTCTACTAGTCCAGCGCCGGCTGCAACGTCTGCGAATGTGCACTCCGCCCCATCATCTCTCCGCCGCCTTCCCCAACTGTTCAAAACGATGGGGAGGAGCACAAGCAAGCGACAAGATCCCTCATTTCAAAATGCTCCCTCCTCTGCGTGTGCGTGCACGAGCACACGCCAACATCAACGATCACCACGTCCAAACCGTCACGTTCACGTTCAAGCGTACACAGAGGAGCGTGTACGTGTGCACAAACGAATTTTTGGCGGAAAGGTTCGCTCTCGCCCCGCCGGCCAAAAAACGTGTGCACAAACGAACTGGACACATCATGAACAAGTACGGTCATGCCTTCAAAAGGGGTGGCATGATCGCGGCGGCAGGAAAAGAAAAGCACCAAGCCCCTCTGCCCAAGCGAACGAGCACACGAGCTAAGACAGCGGCAGATGCAAGTCGGAGCCGGAGGCCCCTGGAAGGCATGGTAGCTGGAGTCTCATCCACGCGCACGACCTGAGACGCCGCTTGAACTACGGAGCACTATTTGCAACCCAATGTATGACGCAGCACCGCCAACGCAGACGCGCTCATCTGAAAGCAAATGAGGCGGAGGGGGAGGGGGGGATGACCACGAGGACGGGGAGGACGAGGCCCGAGGAGACGAGGGGGGAATGTGGAGGAGGTGGAGGGTGGAAGGCAGGAGGATCAGGAGCAGGATGAGACGGTGCAGGGAGAGCGGCGCGTGAAGCGCTGGACGCACGCCTCAGAAGGAGGCACTGCCGCCACGGAGTGGGCCCGCTGTGACGGCGGGCCGGTCCAGGTCCTGGGCAGAACAAGCTCGGCTGGAGAGCCCTCCAGGCGAGCTCTGCTACGAACCCTCTGGGCGGAGATTCGACCTGGCCGAGCTTGAAGTCGAACTATCGTTGTCGAGGCGTCTCGATTTGCAGAATTGGGAGATCCATCGGGCCGATACTCGGCGCATTTGGGGCCCAATTGAATCCGCCTTCCTCCCGCTTTGTAGGCTCCTGGGCCAGTAGACAGCGAACGTGATCAAGACGCCGCCTCTCCTTGTGGGGGCCGGGGTGGGGACCTTGTGAAGCCTTGAGGCCCTATGAGGTCTCGCGGGCAGAGATAGCTCCTGCGAGAGTCGTGCGGACTCCAGGTTCGCATCGAGCAAGTTCCCACAAATCCTGCGCTCCATGACGATGATATCCAACTGCGCATTCTTTGGACACCCGAAGAGGGTACGTACGGACGAATTGGCAATGACAATACCAAACAAAGGATGTGACCCAAGTTCGGTTTGAAATTCCAGGAGGTTCGGTTAGGACAGCCCGCCCCCTCTGACCAATGACACACCGCCTCCTCTAAACAGTTACGCAGTGAATCTTACGATCCTCTCTCCACGGATCCAGCCCGAGTGGGGCAGCTATTCTCCCTGAGCGATGGCGGTGTCTCAGAATTGTGCCCCCGCTGCAGCGTTGGCCTTGTTTTCGGATCGACGTTGTGTTCCCGTCGTTCAGAATAGCGCTCTTAAAGCAGCGCGGGCCACAATTCTGGATCCGAAGCCTTCCTCGTCGTTGTCGCCACGCTCGTTTCCCCTTTCCGCCTTTCTTTCCCTGGTCCTCCTGTCCTCCTGTTCATCCTGCTGCTGGTGTTCCTCCTCGTCGTCTTCCTTCCTTGCCCTTCTCCTCTGCCTTCTGCTCATCCTTTTGCCCATCTGACACCCCTCCTCCTCCTCCTCCGGCGCCCCTTGTCTAATTGCGCATCATACGATGGGGTCCTTTTGGAGGCTCCACGCCCGCTATGACAACGGTCGGCGGACATAACAAAAATCCAGCGCAATGGGAAGGCATGGGTGAGAAGGGGTTGGATGTCAGATATGCCGCGAGCGCACCAAGCTTGACTCTCCCGCCCTCTCCGCTCCCCCTCTGCCACCCGGACCCCCGCCCTCCTCCTGCCCACCGAACAGGACGAGGAGGATGAGGAGGCAGGGCGGAGAGGCCGAGTCGGCCTCCCCTGCGGTGCCTCCTTCCCCCCCCCCCACCCCGCTTCTTCCCCCTGGAGGCGGCCCGCGGAGGGCGGCCGCGACAGGCAGCCCGACGCCTCCCTCCGCCTCCCGCCCCCGCGACCCGCCCCCCCGCGGCCTGGGCCCCGAGGCGGCCGCGGGAGGGGAGGCGCCGGCTGCCCGACTCGCGGCGCGGCCGCCGCGCGCCGCCCGGGGCCCCCCGCCCCCGCCGGATGGGGCCCCAGTCGCCCCGCACGTCGGGCGTGGTGGACTCCGCCGCCTCTATAATGGTGCCCTGACGGGGTGGGGGAGGGCGGGATCAGTCAGCATCGAAGCGGTGGATGGGACCGAACCGAGCCCTCCTCCCTCCTGCGTCCTCGTCCTCCTCCATCTCCTCCTCCTCCTCCTCCTCCTCCTGCTCCTCCTCCTGCGCCTGCTCCTCCTCCTCCTCCTCCTCCTCCTTCTCCTCCTCCTCCTCCTCCTCCTCCTCAGCATCAGCATCAGCATCAGCATCAGCATCAGCATCAGCATCAGCATCAGCAGCATCATCATCATCATCATCATCATCATCATCATCATCATCATCATCATCATCATCATCATCATCATCTCATCATCATCATCATCATCATCATCATCATCATCATCATCATCATCAAATCATCAGCAGCAGCAGCAGCAGCAGCAGCATCATCATCATCATCATCATCATCATCATCATCATCATCATCATCATCATCATCATCAACATCATCATCATCATCATCATCATCAGCATCATCATCATCATCATCATCATCATCATCATCATCATCATCATCATCATCATCACCACCACCACCACCACCACCACACCACCACCACCACCACCACCATCACCATCACATCATCCATCATCATCATCATCATCATCATCATCATCATCATCATCATCATCATCATCATCATCATCATCATCATCATCATCATCATCATCCCAGCTCCTCAGCATCGATGCATCGGATCGGGCTGCGTCGGCAGGGGGTCGAGATCGAATCGGGTCGGCCGCGCCAGAATGTACAGCAGCGCCATGCCAGCATCGGACCGCATCGCATCGCTGGGAAATCGGATTCGAACCGACTCGAACTGGCCTCCCCCCCCCGCCCCTCCCCTCGCCCCAAGCAAAAGCTGTTCGGCGAGGGGGTCTTCAGGTGTGCATCTCAGCTCCTGTGGCGCGACTGAGCGCTCCCTGGCGGCTCCCCCGCGTGGAGCGCCCAAAATGCTGTGCAGGAGCGCCCACGTGTCATGCCTGCTGCATGGGGGTGATCTCGGGGCTCTGAGGGGGGGTGGGTCGGGGGTGCCTGAAGCTGCGCTGCGTCTGACTCCAACAAGACGATCGGGCATCCCCACGGTCTGGGCGCGAACGGGCTAGTGTAACACCACCCGGCTGCTCCTCCTCGGGGCGCTTTCATGCCACGCCTGCTATATGCGGCGACCAGACCACAGGGCTCTCACAAAAGATGAGACATCCCCACAATCTGGTCGGGGCCGTGCAACCGCCCCTCCCCTTGGGGTACTGGAACCACCGCATGGCCCGAGACATCCCTACAAGTTGAGTGCGAGGCGAGCTGCGTGTGCGTGGTCTGTGTGAGCGAGTCCGAGTGGAGTGACTCTGAGTTTGTATGAGTCCGTGACTAGTGAGTCTGCGATTGAGTGTATCTTGTGTGAGTGCGCCTGGGGGCTGAGCCTGAGTATGACACGAGTGCCAAGCTAGCCAGATCGAGTGAGTCAGAGGGCCCCGCCTACTCCCACCCTCCCCGCATTATAACAATCGATCGTGGCACAACTTGGCATTGGGATTGGAACGCCATCCCACACTGCGAGTAGAAGGCGCTCGCGCGCGGCCCCGCTTCCGACTACACGGTGACCAGAGAGAGCTGGACGCGGCGAAGACGAACCATGCACCGCGCTGACAACGCACTGCCACTTTCACTCACAGTCTGCGCGGCGCTTGGGCGAGGTTGGCATTCGCCCGCCTGCTCTCGCGCGGCCCCGCTGCCACTGTCGTTGTCATGCGGTTTGGCGAACGAAGCATGTGCCGCGCCCGCGCTGGAACGCCACTTCTGAGCCAGAAGCGCATGAAGCTTGGGCGAGGGCGACAAGTCACTCACTCGCGCGAGCCCCAAAAAGTTGGCGAGTGAAAAATCCGCCGACCCTGTCGGCGTGTGGAAGAGGCTGTTCCGTTTAACTCGTCGTCGTCGTCGTCGTCGTCGTCGTCGTCGTGGTCGTTGTCGTCGTTGTCGTCGTCGTCGCCTTCGCCGCTCCCCTCTCCGTTCTCTAGGCCCGGTGTAGTTGAGCCGAAAGGAAGCCCTTCCCTTTGATCCCTTCTCCGCCTGGGGGGGGGGAGTCCCGGGGTGGGTTCTGGGGGGGGGGGGCCCACCAAGATACGACTCCCCTCCGGGGGGGATCGCCACCAAGATACGACTCCCCCATGGGCTGTTCGGGGGCCCAGAAAAGCCCCAAGAACGCAGAAGTGCCCCAAGATGCCCCCAAGACAGTGCTCGAGGGTTCAGAATCGCCGAAGTATCCGTCCAAGTCGCCGAAGTAGCCTCCAGACGGCTCAAAAGGTTTCCACAACGCCCCGATAGGCCTCTAAGAGGACTTCCAAGAGAGCCGCAAGGGGCCAACATTATCGAGTTCCCTTTGGATTTTGAACGATTTCGGCATTCTCGCCTTGTCAGCTTCCCGACGCTCCACGACAGGCCAAGAGGCCCCCAATACCGCCCCAGGATGGCCCAAGAGGCCTCTCAGAGGCCTCCAAGGCAGCCGAAGAGGCCTCCAAGACGGCTCCAAGAGGGAGCCCATATGATGGACCCGAAAGGTCGTTTCGAGCCCTCGGCCTGAGAAGCTCCCAGGAGGCCCCCAGAGGCCCCTAAGAAGCCCCCCAAGAGGCCCCAAGAGGCCCCCAAGAGACCCCCAGGAAGCCCCAAGAGGCCACCACGAGGCTCCAAGCGGCCCCCAAGAGCCTCCCAAGAGGCCCCAAAACTAAACTACCCCCAAGAGGCACCCGCGAGCGCTCGTCGTCGCCGTCGCCGTCGCCGTCGCCGTCGCCGTCGTCGACGTCGTCGTCGTCATCGTCGTCGTCGTCGTCGTCGTCGCCGTCGTCGTCGTCGTCGTCGTCGTCGTCGTCGTCGTCGTCGTCGTCGTCGTCGTCGTCGTCGTTCAAGGTCGGCGGCACTGGCCGCAAGGCCTTCGCAGTATGCGACGAGTCGAGGCGGGAGCGCCACTTGCACGCCAAATCTGCGCGGTGCCGAGGCGAGAGCGACATTCTCGCCCACTCGCGCATCGACGAAGTCTTGTGCCATAGATGTGCACCGCACCCAAGCGGGAGCTCAATTCTCAAGAAACGTGAGCGCGGCGCCGAGGCGAGAGCGACATGTCGGCCTTTCGCGCGGGATGTGCGTCCCGCCCCATTCCTGCCACGTGGTTTTGACAGATGGACGACCAGATGCCCACTTTGAGACGAACGCGTGATTTCGGTGTTATGTGGCAGGCAGGATGGGACACACCGGATCAGGTCGCTGTCGGCCGCCTAGGTGGCAGAGTAGGTACATGTAGCAATAAAAAGCAAGGATGAGTGGGAGCCTGAGTGTAAAGAGGAAGAGGGCGCGAAGGAGGAGGAGGAGGATGAGGCACGACACTAAGAGCAATAACCCATATTTCGGGTAGGGGGATAAGTCCTAGCAAATACAAAAGATTTAACCATCACTTGGGCCAGCGTCATCGGTTGTTGGAACACCCCATGCTGTGTACACGACGCCTCGAGGTTGCCCCCCCAAAATCCACCTCCCGCTCCCCCCGGCTTCCCTTCCCTACCTCCACCTCCCCCCCCACTGGCTCTCCCGCCGCCTCCTGGCACTGATGAAACGGTGGGGGCCGCAGGCAGGAGGAGCATCGAAGCACCGAGGCACACACATGCTGGCCCCGTCCCCAACAAAGGCTGACGAAAAGAATACATGCGATGCCCCGCGTATATTGCACCAGCAACTTTCGCCGCGGAGACCCTCCTCATTAAAGAAGATTCGGCTCTGCCCTACATGCCAGGGCTGGACTTGACCGTCCAGCGTTTCGTTATGTGTTCGCATTTCTTGCGAATCACACGTCGTAGCTAACACATGGTCGGTGTAGACATCCGCCACTGTCAAACCATGGCGTTCGTGTCAAGCCGTAACATCCGTGTCAAACCCGTACGACACTGTTGGCCTTGAAAGCGGTTCAAACGGAGACTTGTTGTCACAAGAAGACGTGTTACATTCATGTGCGCGCTCACTCGCGAAACCAACACTGTATGTGCACCAATCTGCCACACGCGCGCATGCCGAAATCCAACAAACATCAAGCCCGCGCCAAGTCAGAACATACCATTTGGGCCACATGCGCGCGTTCCCGCGCGAGTATGTCGAAATCCGCCGACCCCTCGTGGGTCTGTAGGCGCGTGAGATTGCTCCCCCCCATAATCCCCCCCCAGGGACCCCAAACCTCGATTTTGACAACCCCCCCGGGCCCAGCACGACCCCCGGTTGAACGCCCCCCCCCACAGCGGACCGGAGCACCTCACAACCGGCCACGAGGGCCCCAAAGGGGCCCCCAAGACGGTCCAAGAGGGCCCCGAGCCGCCGAAACATCGAACCGAGACGGCCAAGATGGCATCCAAATGGCCCAAGATGCATCCAAAACGCCCCCAGAGGCCCCCAACAGGCCACCCAAGAGGGACCGCCGAAACACAGATCTTCCCATTCCTCCGGGAAAAAGATGGGTTTAGCACATTCGCTTCTTGGGTTTTCACTGCGACCAGATGGCCCAAGAGGTTTCCAAGATCGCCCCAAAACGACCCAGGCGGCCCCCAAGAGGGCTCCAGGCGCCCCAACAGGGCCCCAGAACGGCGTTCAGATGGGGCCCAGAGGGGGAACCCGAACGGACATGTCGAGCCTTCGGCCCCAAAGCGCCCCCAGGCTGCCCAAAGAAACCCCCCTAAAACCCCGAGGGGGCTCCAAAACAAACCCACGAGGCTTCCATGACGCCCCCCAAAAATCAAGGGATGCCTCCAAGCCCCCCCCGAAAACACCCGACGACGCCCCTATCAACTATCCCACTGGCTTCAGACCCACAACCCAGGCATGGTGGCGGGATGGACCGAAGGCCATTCGATAATCGCGCGTCCACGGCGAACGCGTCTACCCCATTGGCTTCGGGCCCACGCCAGGCACGATGGCGGGATGGTCCGAAGGCCATTCGATCTTCATTCGTCCGCGGCGAACGCTGCGAACGTCAGCCCCGACGCATACAATGATCCCACAGAGTTTCCGCCAGGACTCTGACACTGCCCCCTCAGTCAGGGCCCCAAGACTCGCTCTACCCCGCCTGCCCCTCCTCCTCTTCCTCCTCTTCCTTATGCGGCTCCTTCTTTTCAGCTTCCTCCTCATCATCAGCTTCGCTGTCCCTCTCGCCCTCCCCTTCTGGCCCTACTTCCACGGAGCGCGGAACGGGCGGTCGAATGCGCATCACTTGCACGTTTTGCGCTTCAGGGTGTCCTTCTTTTCGTCACGCGCGACGTGGTCAGGCCACACTGGAGAAGAAAGCGGCGGATTAGCAGGCTGCTGAGCAGACGGAGGAAAGGATGAGAGAGGAGGCCGAGATGACCAGCAGCAGCAGGAGTTGGAGAGGGAGAAGCAAGAGGAGCAAGAGCACCAGAGGAAGGCGGAGGAATGTAAAGGAACGGGGCGCCAAGAATGAGGAATGACGCGGATCCAGAACAGTGGCCCTCGCCCTGAAGAGACCCCACAGGAACGAGCGACACAGGTGCGGACCAGCGTAAAGGCCCAGCTCAGACCAAGTGGATCACCCTGTAGCCTCTGCCTTGTCGCGTGTCTGGACACATGTAATGCAACCCGAATCCGCCAACCATTTCGGGGTCTCCAGACGTGTAAGATTCGTCCCCTGAACGGTCCCGAATGCCCCCAGAACAACTCGGGGATGGCCCCGAATAGCCCCGAGCCCGCCCCCCAAAAGAAACAAGACGACACAAGTACGCCCCAGGACAGCAATAGGAGGTCCCCGAGTCGATCAAGGGGTTGGCGGATGTGGCGCAAGCCTATAGAATCATTGCAAAACCCTGATGTGTTCCAAGCGCGTCAACATACAAGTGTTCAAAACCCATGCTTACACTGGGGCTCCTAAACAAACGAGCGACACATATTGCTGCGCACGAGCTTCCTCATGGAATGTCATCCTCATGACCACCATCGCCATCATCATCGACAGGACGGGAAATGGGAAGGAGGCCGAGAGGCCTCCCACGAGATCCCAGCGAGCATCACATAGGCCTATAACCCAAACCCAAACACGGCGGCGGGACATGCCGCAGGCCGCAGGCAACTCGACACCAATGTTTCATCTCCCTCTCCCTCCTGTGCTACTTCACCGCCCCCCCCTCTCCGTTACATCTTGCCCCACCGATCCCTCGCGAACGTCCCGTGCGTGCACAGCCGGACAACCACCCCGAGCCTGCAATCTGGCGCGCATCTCCGTCACCTTGAGCTCCGACTGCTCGTTGCACCGGCGGAGATCCTCCCATCACGCTCTCCCTCCTGCTGCTGCGCGACACGAGCCGCGAGGCACCGGCCGAGTGAACCGCGTACGACGCACCACAGAGGGAAAGTATTCCATCTAACACGGCGGAGGCTGCAGAGCAAAGGCTGAATTGATCGTCTGTCCTAGCTTGCGCCCCAGGCACCGTCCGTCATCGCGCTCCTCCGCCGCCTCGGAGCCTTGCGAGGGTCTTCCCTCTGGGTCAGCAATTCGATCCAATCGGCTCGTGGACTCGTCCCAGGGTTGCGGGGTGATGTGCTGAAAAAGACAAGAGGCGGGAGTGGATGGGGAGTGCTCGTCCGTCCCCTGCACGTCCTCCTCCTTGTTTTCCTCGTTCTCGTCCTCGTCGTATTCGTCCTCGACCTCCTTCTGGAGAGATTACTTTCTCCTCCTCCTGGTGTCGCTAGACTTGCCCAGACGACGGGGCGTACCTGTACGAGCCGAAAAAAGCTGGGGGGCACCATGTTCCGCAAGATTCCACTCTGACCATCACTGCGAGACGAATCCAACTAATCCTTGCGACCAGGAGGATGAGGAAGACGTGGTACCGAAAGATTAAGTCGACGATGCGAAGGTGGAACCGCCAGATTAAGGCGTCAATGATGACCACGTGAAGGCATATGGGACCAGACGGACGCTACAATACTTTAACGGTTTGCAGTGTGCGTGGGTCAGATGGACACTATCAGACGGACGCGTCGCCAATTAGAAATATCATACTGGTTTTCGACATGTCGTGGATTATGCTTGTACTACCAAAGATGCACGATGAGCTGACACTGACTTTCAAGGTGATGTGGCAGACAAGCTCTCCTTAAGTATCATATGGACGTTCAGGGGACGTTATTGTAGTCACTCGCTCCGCTCATCCGTCGATGTTGCGTCAAACGCTCGTCGACGCGAGTCGGAGTTGAGTTGAAATTGAGTAGACCTTACGTCGAGCTAGATTCGACCTAGGAGTCGAACGGATCATGTTAGTTGGCCTCCAGGGAGGCCCCCACAACGAGCATGGAAACTACGCTCTGAACGAAGGGCGAGGGGCAACGTTGCAGGGGGGACCTGCTCAGGGGGGAAACGTTGCGCTGGAACCAGAGATACATCGCCGATAGCCGACCGCGGGCGATAATACCCCCCCTGGGATATTAAAGTTCGCGGTTCCCGGGGGGATAATAAAGGATTTGCCCGGGGAAGGCAAGTTAACTATGATGGTGCTGATGATGGTGATGATGATGATGATGATGATGATGACGACCATGGTGGAGGAGGAGGATGAGGCTAAACCAGGCGCGCGACAGAAAACTGACCCGAGCAATCTCGAGGCCCGTGGCTACTTGCCCGCAGAGGCGCACTACACAAGGATGACTCGAGAATCTCGAGGCTCGTGGCTTCTTGCCCGCAGAGGCGCAGGACACAGGGCTGATTCGAGCGATCTGGAGGCTCGTGGCTAGGCGCCTACATTGTGCCAGCGCAAGAGAGGTCCTTGGCCGATCTGGCCAAGAAACCCCTCTTGCGCTGGACTTCGAACCGCTCTCCCATGCAAGCACGGCATCCTTTGTACCCGCCGTCCTTGCATGGGAAACACTTGGTGCAAAGCTGGGCGGCGGCGCTGGTGAGAATCCCACAGCCCTGCCACACGCTCGTGATTGCGGAAGCTGGTGTGGTGACACCACCATGACCATGCTCAGCGTTTTTGATGCTGTTGCCAATCAACATGATGTGATAGCAACCTCGATCCCCGCATTTTTTCCGTGGATTAGAAAGTTCGGCCCCCGCGCTTTCCCCACTGATAGACCCCTGTGGTAAGGGGATAAAAGAATTGAGGGGGTGAATGGGGGGGAGGTACTTTGTTATCGCCCGCGGACGGTATATTGGCGATATGCCCCCCGATATCAGATCCGCATGTTCTTGGGCGGGGTGGGCTATCGGGTCCCTATCGGGGAGATGAATGGGCGATTGGGGGTCGATGCGTCCCCCCCTGAGCCTATCCCCTGCTAACGTTTCTCCCTGGCTTTCGGGTCATGATTCGGCTCTCCCGTGGCCGTTCGGTACGATCAAAGCAACCCTGGAACGCTCTCGGCGAGGCGCAGCCGCTGGAAGGCATCCGGAAAAAAAAAAAACCGCCGATAGGTAGCGAACCCGTACAACAAACACATCAACATCGTCTACAATCACAATCACACCTCGGAACACGCCGTTCTTGTTTCGCCCCTGACCCGGGTCCCCCCGAGCGTTGCTTCGGGAAGGGTGGGGAGGTCGCGCGCTCCGTGGAAACGTTCGCCAAGTGCTCGCTCCGCCCTCTCCGCGTGCTCACTGCTCGCACCGCCCCTCGACTCCGCTGCCTCAGAGGGAAGCGCGCGCCGCCCCCTCCGTGTATGCGTTCGCCCACTGATCGCCTGCGGCCTGGCGGCGGCGGAGCAGACCGAGAGAGCTCGCCCTCCACGCACCGCGACACCACCCTCCCGCGCCCGGGCAGCCGAGGCGCTCGTCGGGTCGGGCGAAGGAGGAGGCCGGCAAAGGAGGCAGCCGCGACGCAGCTCACGTGGCGAATCCTCCCGGCGCCCCCTGGTGCCAAATGCGCCAATGTCTGGGAGACGGAAGACTCGGGTTCGGGGGACTCGGGATGACCTGGCGGGGCCATCATGAAAATGACGAGACCTGGTATGAAATTTGACGTGAATTCCCTCTGCAAGCGTCCCACGGAAATTGGACCGTCAACATATCCAGAACGCGCTCGTCAACAAAAAAACACGGCAAACCCGAGTTCCGGCGCAATCGAGTCTTACCTTTCCCCGACAGTGTGTCGAGGACAGGGCCCGTCGGCGGAGCCAAAGCCAGCTGCATGCCACACGTTTAGTCCCCCCCTTTCCTGCTAGTATTCGAGATGATGGCTTCGTCATCGTTCCAAATAATAGATATCATCATCACTTCCCTGTCAGTTGATGCCCACCGCCCTGACGATTGCCATGACAGAGAGACAGGCGCGCCGTCGCCTTCCCCTAGCTGCCATTGGTCGTCTCTGCCCGACGCTTGCAATCGGTGACGTTGCCGGTCTCCCAGCGACCACTCCGGCAACGCTGGTGCTGGCGGCGTCGAGCTGCCAGCCACTAAGGCGGCCGACGAGGCGAGCAATCAACCAGGCAGCCACCAAGCCAGCCACCAAGGCTGCCAACAAGGCATCCAACCTGCCAGCTGACGAGGCATCCAACAAGGCCGCCAAGTAAGCAGCCAACAAGCAGCCAACAAGCCAGTTAACGAGGTGGCCGAGTTGGCAGCCAACGAGACAGTCAGGAACGCGGCCAGCCAGGCAGCCAACGGGGCAAGCAGCCGACCATGCAGCCCACAGGGCGGCCAGCAACGCGGTTAGCAAGCCAGCCAACATGGCAGCCAGCGAGGCACCCAACAAGGCCACCAAGTAGGCAACCACCAAGACAGCCAACGAGGCAGCCAGGCAGCCGCCTGGGGGGATCCCAGAAGCGGATCCCCATGGCACGCTTGCACTCGTGCGTTGCGTGCGCAGCAATCCAACGATTCTCGCCGCGCCCTTGCAGGTTGAAGCATCCAGAACACAGGATGCCCGCAGAACCGGTGCAGTTGCCGTTGCCACCGCACCCCGCTGCTGTCGATGCATTACCCTCTCTAGACCAAGCCGGCTCCATCACTTCAGCGGCACCTCCCACCCGGGCCACTCTTCGTTGCGCGCCCCGTGATGGCTCTGCGCGTGTGGCGCCCCAGGAGCTTGGCCGCGCGTCGGAACTGAGCAAAGAACAGGGAGCCCCTGCGGCCCCATGGTGAGGGCTCTCGCGCCGCCTCCTGCTCCCCTGACGCGGATCGTCGCGCCCTGGAGGGAGCTCCACCTTCGGTTCGAGAGGCCAGGTCCGCATGCCGCCCCCGCCAACGGCGGCGCGCCTCGCGTGGGTCGCGCCCCGCGGGGAGCTCCTCCTGCCGGCTCCAGGGAGAAAGACCGCGCGCCGCCCCCCCCGAGCACTTCGCCCCCCCCCCCCCCCCCCCCCCCCCACACCCCTCACGCGGATCGTGCCGCATAGTGCGCTCCATCCAGCGGCCCCATGGGGGGGGCCCGCGCGGCGCCTGGTCAGAAGCAAGCTGAAGGCAATACAAAGTCAACCTGTAGGCGAATCCATGGGCAATACTGTCTTCTTCCAATCGGAAATGTATTTATTTCGCGTTGAACAGACTTTAACTTATTTTGTCTAGAATCAACGCGAGAAAAGGACTCCCCTATTATAAACACGCATATGCCTATAGATCTGCCTTTTAGATTTCATTTGGTTTGCCTGTAGACCGTGGTAGTACGGAGTAGGGCTACCCCATAAGGCTCCCACATAGGGCTTCCCCTAGCGGGGCATACAGTGATGAAGCCAGCGAGGTGGCGAATGAAACAACTAACAAGGCAGTCAACGAGGCAGCCAACGAGGTAGCGAGCTGGGCAGCCCGTGAGGCAGCCAACAGGCAGCCATGTATGCACCCACCGAGGTAGCCAACCAGACAGCCGACGATGTAACGAACACGTGAAGCACAGAGGGGCTCACGCTGCGACTGCCAATCTGCAGTCTGCCTGGCTAGAGCATAATGCAGTGGAGTGAATCATGCGGGGACGTACGCCCCAACTGACAACGTGAAAGGGGTACTGCCGGTGGCGAAAAAAAACGCCCACCAAGCAAAATGGACAACGCTGCTGTGTTCAGAGCCCCCGTGCCCCCCAGTGTCAATGTTGAAAATGGGGTTTCCTTGGCGGTGCAGTTCTGGGCGTTTTTTTTATGCTTGCATCCCGACTACGGCCGCGAACGCGACATTGAAATGGGGGGTCCCGGGGCGGCACCGTCGAAGCAACATCTGTGGATGGGCGTTTCTTTCCGCCAGCAGGGGTATCGCATCGCATTCAGTGATCGGAGGGCCCCACTGGGCCCGCACCAAAGCTCACTCCGGCGAAAGGTCACTCTTACGAATAGTCGATTTCCTCCGACCTGGGCTTTGAAGGAAGGCGCGGAGGGACGCAGTCACCTCGACGGCTCCGCAGCGAGGCAGGTGTTGTCTGAGGACAGGCCGTGGGTGGTGGGAGAGGGAAGCGCTCAAGACTGGAAGCTCTGCAGACTGCCACGCGATCGGTGCGCCCAGGCGAGCCGCATGATGCGGAACTCGCATGGAATTCGAGAGACGATCGACCGAGCGAGGCGAGGGGGCCGTCACAGAAAGGGGCTGGTTTGCCAGGGGTCACTCGCTGTTTCGACCCTCCTGCTGTTTGGCTGCACTTCGACGACAAAGAAGGTGCTGCCACGGCGAAGTGCGGTGGGGGGGGGCCTCTGCCTCTGGCGCCACCGGCGCCGAGTCGAGGTCCAGGATGCAGCCCTCGTACTCCTCGGGGAAGCGGGGGGGAGGGCGGTGGGGGGGAGAGAGGCCTCACTTGCCCAATACCCCTTTTTCTCCTCCCCCCCAGGTCCGCCCACTCCCACTCTGCTGTAGTCAGAAGAAGACGACGACGAAGAAGAATAACGAAGAATAACGACGACAACAACAACAGACGCACCTATACTGTCGGAGGTCCGCTCGGATTTCTTGTATCGGCGTTGGAACCCCCCTCTTTGGCGGGAAGTGTCTGCATACGGTTGGCGTCTCGGCCGCCGCCGCCCCCCCCCCGAGGCTCTAGTCTGAGGAGAACATCTGATGGTTCCATATGATATTGTAATGTTTGGCCGTTGTGGGTTATGATGTGTCTCAGGGGCCTCCACATGGCCCCTAGATGGCACCCAGAGAGCCCAACATAGTCAGGAAGGGCCTCAAGACACTCGAGATGAGCCTCAAACGCCCATCACATGGCCGTAGAAGCCCCAGTGGCTTCACGCCTGCCTCGACAGCCCTAGGGACTCCCAAGAGGCCATCGGCAACCCTAAGGGCCCCAAACGGCAAGCAGAATGGCCCTGAAGAGCGTCCAAAATCACCCAAATTCCACCGACAATGAAACAAACAACATGTTGCACCGTTCGAAGGTACGGTCAGAACTAACCGTGCGTGGCGCAGATCCGCCACCTCTCGTGACCCAGCTGAACACAAACAAAACATACCACTCTGGCTAAAACAACAATTTGACGGATACTGAAACTCGACAAACGCACTGGGAAACAACGGGGAAGACAGATAACCAAACATTGGCGCTGGAATGGCGCACACATCTGCTCCTCAACCGTCTGCCCTCAAACAGGCTGGGCGAGTCCCACGTGACTTCAAGCCTCTCCACGGGCGTTTCGCCCTCTGCCGCCAAGTGTGGAATCCATGTGCCTGCCGGGTCGACAATCAACCCGCATAGTAAGGATGAGAGACTTTCCGAGGGTACCCTTACATCCTTCCCCATCGGCCCAACCTTGGCTTCTTTCGCTGGCCGCGCCCCGCCCGCAAAGTGTCGGCATGGCCTTCCAAGGCCATTGTATTCCTATCATGTGTCCTTACTGTGCGGGTTGACTGTACTGTAGTGGCCTGCAAAGTCCTTAGATGCCTTCGGAGATGGCCCAAAGTAACGCCTGCATGGCCCAAGAGGGGCCCAACGCGGCCCACGACGGCCCTGGAACAGGTGCCTCATGCGGCGCTGACTACGATGCGGCCACGAGGGGCTCAAGACAGCCCCGAGGCGTCCGCCAAGACCCCCAGATGGCCGTAACTACTCAAACTTCAGCACAACATTGGTTCTCCCATGTATATTAGCTCTTACGCGTTTCGCCATGCCGTTTGGCTCTTGCGCTTTTCGGGTCCAGACGATTCCAAAGAAGGCATCGTGGGGCCCAAATCTACCCCAACAAAATACAAGAAGGTCACACGATAGCCCTAAGACCGTCCCGGACGGGTCCAAGAGAGGCACAGAGGGCCCAACTCTAGCAGCATCCAAGACGACCAAGATTGGCCGAACACACACACACACACACACACACGCAAGCACGCACGCACACGCACACGCACACGCACACGCACACGCACACGCACACGCACACGCACACGCACACGCACACGCACACGCACACGCACACGCACACGCACACGCACACGCACACGCACACGCACACGCACACGCACACGCACACGCACACGCACACGCACACGCACACGCACACGCACACGCACACGCACACGCACACGCACACGCACACGCACACGCACACGCACACGCACACGCACACGCACACGCACACGCACACACGCACACGCACACGCACACGCACACGCACACGCACACGCACACACACACACACATACACACACACACACACCCACACACCCACACACCCACACACCCACACACACCCACACGCACACCCACGCACACCCACGCACACCCACGCACACCCACGCACACCCACGCACACCCACGCACACCCACGCACACCCACGCACGCCCACGCACGCCCACGCACGCCCACGCACGCCCACGCACGCCCACGCACGCCCACGCACGCCCACGCACGCAGGCACGCAGGCACGCAGGCACGCAGGCACGCAGGCACGCAGGCACGCAGGCACGCAGGCACGCAGGCACGCAGGCACGCAGGCACGCAGGCACGCAGGCACGCAGGCACGCAGGCACGCAGGCACGCAGGCACGCAGGCACGCAGGCACGCAGGCACGCAGGCACGCAGGCACGCAGGCACGCAGGCACGCAGGCACGCAGGCACGCAGGCACGCAGGCACGCAGGCACGCAGGCACGCAGGCACGCACCACAACACCCACACCCACCACACCACACCCACACCCACCCACACACCCACCCACACACCCACACACCCACACACCCACACACACACACACAACCAACACACACACAACCAACACACACACAACCAACACACACACAACCAACACACACACACACATACACACACATATACACATATAGGTATATGTGTACACCATATACCCAAGATGGCCCAAGAGGTGCCGTTGAGAGGTCCGTGAGACGAGCCGACTTGTGTTTTTGTTGTCCGCAGGGGCCCAAACAACTCGCTGGAGGCGCCTGCGATAGTCAACATGCAAATATCAGAGTGAGGGGGCCGAATGGTCATTCATTGTCCCTGGGTACGTGGCTGAATAAGGAATTCGTGCCTAGAATTCTTTTTGTTGCGTTGTTGCTGTTGTCGTTGTCGTTATTGTTGTTTGTTGTCGTCGTCCCACCCGCGACCCAACCCGCGACCCACCCCGCGATCCACCCCGCGACCCACCCCGCAGTCCACCCCGCGACCCACCCCGCGACCCACCCGCGACCCAACCCGCGACCCATTTGCGACCCACCCTGCGACCCATTTGCGACCTACCCGCGACCCACCCTCGACCCACCCCGCGACACACCCGCGACCCGCTCACGACCCACCCACGATCCACCCCGCGACCCACCCGCGACCCACCCGCGACCCACCCTCAAGGGAAGAAAAATCACCCGGACCCGACAACTAACGTTTACAAAAACGGCAGCCCTGCCCAGTTCGATTCATCCCTTGTTTGCGTTTGCTAACTAAACGGTTTCGCCTGTCGGGGTGATTTATAGGCTGGATTTTCTGCCCTCTACACCCGCGACCCACACGCGACCCAACAGCGACCCACCCTCGATCCACCTGCGACCCATTTGCGACCCACCCGCGACCTACCCACATTGGCTTAGCGAAAACATCGGCGCCTGCGGCGGGCTCGTTGTATACTTTGTGAAACTTTGGCGCCTGCGGCGGGCTTCTCCAGAGTCTCGCAAACTGCCGACATCCCTCACCGCCCCCGCTCTCTTACCCGCATCTGCGGGGTCCTACGCGCGGTTATTACGGTGCACATCTACAGAGGTGGCGAGGAAGAAGAGTGACAGAAGGTAGAGGAGCAGCATGCGGACCATGACGAGGACAAGGATAACTACGACGACGAGAAGGACAGGGCGGTGAAAGAGAAGGTGGGAGAGGGGGTGCAGAATCATGAGCCTACTCATGCGCATGAGAGAGCGCGCCCGTGGTACACTCTCAAGGGGGAGGGGGGGACCCTGAGCCAACCCCCCGCCCCCCTTGGACCTCCCCTGCCGGAAGATCCCCTCCTCCACTTTTTCCCGCCCCTCGGAAGCTACCCCCCTCCTCCCTTTCGCGCGCCAGAAAGCGACCCCGCCCTCCCTGTCCAACAGGGGAGGGGGGGGCTTAGATCCCCCCCGCTTTGAACCCCCCTTGTTCCGAAGCCTCCCCCTCTTTCTTTCCGCCCGTTGGAAGCTAGCTCCCCCCCACACGTTCGCACTCCGGAAGCTACCCCCTCCCTGTCCGAAGGGGGGGGCTTTAGCTACTCCCCCCTTAAGTCCCCTCTGCCTGAAGACCCCCCGCCTCCCCCCCTTTTGGGCTGAAGGGTGGGGTGGCTTGGAAGCTCCCCCCAGTTAGCGAAGGGAAGGAAAGCCGAAGACCAAAATAACGCCGAAAACCAACAGAACACCAAAAACCAAGGAGCCACCGAAAACCGAAATGGTGCGGAAACCAGAGGCGCGCCAAAAACAGAAGGAACGCCGAACACCGAAAGGGCGCCGAAAACCGGAGGTGCGCCAACACCCAAAAGGGCGCCGAAAACCAAAGGAGCACCGCAAACAATGGAGCGCCAAAAACCAAAGGGGCGGAAAAAACCAAAAGGGCGCCGATAACCAGAAGGAAGCCGGAAACCAATGGAGCGCCGAAAACCATAAGAGCGCCGAAAAGCAAAGGGGCGCCGAAAAACAAAAGGCGCCGAAAACCCAAAGAACGACGAAAACCAAGGAGGCGCGCTCCGAAAACCAGATGGGCGCCGAAAACCAAAGGGGCGCCGAAAATCAAAAGGGGCGCCGAGAACCAGAGCAGCGCCGAAAACCAAAAGGGCGCCGAAAACCACATGAGCACCGAAACCCAAAAGGGAACCAAAAAACACAAAAATCGCCAAACTTGAAAAAGACGCCGGAAACCAATGCTGCGCCGGAAACCAATCAGGCAGCGACAACCAAAGGGTCACCAAACACCAAAAGGGCACCGAAAACCGTAAAGGGCGCCGAAAACCACAAAAATGCCGAAAACCAAAAGAGCGCCAAAAACCACAACGGCGCCGAAAACCACAGGAGCGCCGAAAGCTGAAGGGGCGCAGACAGCCACAACGGCGCCGAGAACCAAAGGAGCGCCGAAGACCGAAAGGGCGCCGAAAAACAAAAGAGCGCCGAAAAACAAGGGGGCGCCGAAAACCAAAAGGACACCGACAATCAAGAGGGCGCCAAACACCAAGAGGGCGCCGAAAACCAAAGGGGCGCCGAACACCCAAGGGGCGCCCAAACCCAAAGGAGCGCCGAAAACCAAAACGGGGGCCGAAAACCGACGATGCGCCGAAAACCAAAAAAGGCGCCGAACTACCAAAGGAGAGCCGAAAACTGAAGGGGCGCCGAGAACCAAAGGAGCGCCGAAAACCACAAAGGTGCTAACAACCACAACGGCGCGAAAACCACAGGAGTGCCGATAAACCAAAGACGCGCCGATAACCAAAATGGCGTCCAGCACCAAAGGGCGCCTAAAACCGAAGGCGCGCCGAAAGTCGAAGGGCGCCCAAAACCAAAGGGACGCCGAAAACAAAAAATCGCCCAAAACCAAAAGGGCGCCGAAAGCTGAAGGGGCGCTGAACATAAAAAATGCGCCGACAACCAAGAGAGCTCCGAAAACCAAGAGGGCGCCTGAACCCAAGAAGGCGCCGAAAACTAACAATGCGCCGGAAGTCGACGATGCGACGGAAACCAAAGGGGCGTCGAATAACCAAAGGAGCGCCGAACACCACAGGAGCGCCGAAAACCACAGGAGCGCCGAAAACCAAAGGAGCGCCGAAATCCAAACGGGCGCCAAAGGCCCAAGAGGCGCCGAAAACGAAAGAGGCGCCGAAAGCCAAAGAGACGTCGAAAACCACAAGTACGCCGAGAACCAACGGGGCGCCGAAAACCAAAGAAGAACAGTAGCTTCGAAGCCCCCCCTTCAGCCAGGAACCTCCAACTGGAAAAGGCAACGGATGAGAGGGGGGTAACTTCGGAAACTCCCCCCCGCTTTGGAAAGGGGAGCCCGGGCTTACCCCGGGCCCCGAAAAATGGCGGGAGGTAGCTTCCAAGCCCCCCCTCCGCCTTTACACCCCTCTCTTAGCCAGGGACCCCCCAGCTACAAAAATCCAAACACAAGGAAGGGGGGGTAGCTTCGGAAGCCCCCTACCCCCCCCTTGAAAGGGAAGCCCGGGCTGACCCGGGGCCCCAAAAAGGGGGGGAGGGGGGGCAGCTTCCTAGCACCCCCCACCTTCTTTAGCGAGGGCCACTCCAGCTAAAACATGTCCGCAAAAAGGGGGGGGAGGGGGGGGAGCTTCGGAAGCCCTCCACCCTTTTCCAAGGGAGGGGGGGGTAGCTTGAAGCTGGGGCCCCCCTCGTAGGGAGAAGTGTGCCACGAGCGCGCTCTTTCATAGATGGGCTTAGGCTCTGAGAGCGGACGAGCAATAGGGTAGGAACGGAGCGGAGGAGACGAGCTCTGGGATGGCGGCAGTGGAGGAGGACGGCATCAATCAGCAACCGCTCGCAGGAGTTGCGACAGAAGCTGTCTGCACGTGGCTAATCGTGTTTCTGGCGCGTCGAGGGCTGAGGGGCCCGTACTTTGCTCGGTGGAGTGGATGAGCGGGGGTGAGTATGAGTGAGGGCGTGTGGGGACTTGAAGACATTGTTAGAGAAACGACACCTGCTGACGAGCAAGCGTGGTCGCTCCTGCTGGAGACTTTGACTGACTTCGCCGAGCCTGCAGATGCAGCAAGGAAAACTACCAGCTCTATCATCATGGGCCCACTGCCAACAGGGCCGAGCGCTTGTCGCAATGCATGAGCATGCTGGAGAACTGAACTCCATGTTTGTGTGTTATATTGTGCGCGGGGCGACTCTATATCTGCGGCAACTTGAGGCAAACAACCTAACTTCTACTTCCAACCGGGCAAGTTACAACACCACATCCAAACATGCAGCAACCAATTAGCGCCATGGTGCAGGACCAGCTGGCATCGGGTACAAACTTGTGGCCGAACACATAAGCGGTGCGCATTCACGGTGGCCTCTCGTACTCGGTCTTGAGCTGCTCGGATATCAAGTCCTTGCAACACGCAAGCTATAATACATGCATCTGCTCGGCTCATATTCGCGTCATCGAATAATTCGATCCTCCCGTGCTGCATCAGACATGCTGTTGTCAATGCAATCCCCAAACCTCGCTCTCTCTCTCTATCTCTCTCCCTCTCTCTCTCTCTCTTTCTCTCTCTCTCTCTGTCTGTTCACACTGAATGCATGCACCTGCCGAGGGATGCGCGAGCCAGAGCGGTACAAAAGAAGAACTCCGAACATTGCCCTCAAGGTTAGCCGCTGCCGCCGCTCTCTTCAGACATTCACAGGGCGGGTCCCATCTGCATCCTCATCTACCTTCGTCTGCGCTGCGACATACGTCGGGGTCCGATGGTCGTCGCTAACGGGCCCCCCTGGCGGTACGACTGTCCCCTGACCCCAGAGGGCGTCGTCCCGCTCCTCGTTGCCCCCATCCTCTTCGGGATTCCTCTCGGGTGACTCGTGATGACTCGTGATGAATCTCTGCGCCCCAATCGGAATGCATTCAGAATCGGAACAGGTGCGGCCACAGTCAAACATACTACACGTGAACTCTCTTCCCATCCAGTGGCCCATGCATGACATCTCCCACTCTCTCTGTCTCTGTCTCTGTTTCTGTCTCTCTCTCGCTCTGTTCCTCTCCTGGCCACTTGCCCCCTGCCATTTGTGCAAGTTTAAATCGCCGCGCTGGCGGCCGCCCGACGTGATCGGGGCGACAAGCTGGGACGCGGAGGCGCAAACCAAGCGAGGGAGGCTCAAGGAGGAAGGGAGGCGGCCGCCAGGGAGGAGCGACGGCGGAGACGCGCGCTCCGAACATGTACAGGGCGCGGCACGAGTGGCGCTGCACTGCTGGCGGCGCCGGGCTCCCGAGGGGGTCGTGCAAAGGGGGTGGGCCACCCAGGGCCGACCAGGATCGGCAGAGGCGCGGCACGGTCTCGCCAAAGGTCGGAGAGCGTGCCCCCAGTGAGACAGCCACATGCGTGCATTGCGGCTTCCAGCTTGCCATCTCTCTCTCTCTCTCTCGGTCTCTCTGCCTTTCTGTATTTCTCCATGTATGTTATTTTGTTTGTCTCTCTCTCTCTCTCTCTCTTTCTCGCTCTTTCTCTCTCTCTCTCGCTCTCTCTCTCCCTCTCTCTCTCTTTCCGTATACATATATACAGAGAGAAAGAGAAAGAAAGAGAGACAGAGAGAGAACGAGAGAGAGAGAGAGAGAACCATCATCTCTTTGGAACCCAATCCCCTCTGTTGCCTCGCGGAACACGTGCGAACCCTGTCTACCGGTCACAACCCACCCAGTCCATTCGGTCGGCTTCCAGCTGATAGGCCTGCTTCCAGACATCTACCTGGAGACGCTCAGCTTGATTGCATCTCATGTGGAGGAGTCGCATCAACATGAGGGAGGAGGAGCAGGGAACAGAGCCAGGTCAGGGGAGGAGAGAGGGAGGGGGGAGCGAGGGAAGGAGGGAGGAGGGCGGGAAGAGGAGGGGGAGCAAGGAGAGGAGGAGGAGGAGGAGGAGCAGGAGGAGGAGGAGGAGGAGAAAGAGGAGAAGGAAGGGGAGGAGAAGGAGAAGGAGGAGGAGGAGGAGGAGGAGGAGGACGAGGAGGAGGAGGAAGAGGAGGAGGAGGAGGAGGAGGAGGAGCAGGGAACAGATAGCGCAACAGACGTTAGAGGCCGGACCTCCGCCGACCAAGGCGGGCGGGTGCCCGACAGCGAGTTGAAAAAGGGAGGCGGAGGAGGGGGATGCAGCCGCCGACGACAACGAGAAAGGAGGAGCGCGAGGACAGCGCCATGCAAAAATGGCGGACCAAAGGAATCCTGGCACAGCCCCCTCCCCACGCTACCGCGACCCCTCCTCGGCGGAGGAGGAGGAGGAGGAGGAGGAGCAGGCGGAGGTGGAGGCGGAGTGAGAGGAGGAGGAGAAGGAGGAGGAGCAGGAGGAGCAGGAGGAGCAGGAGAAAGAGGAGGATGAGGAGCAGGAGGAGGACGAGATAGGGATGGGAGGAGCAGGAGGAGGCGGCGGCGGCGCGGCGGAGCGGTGACGGGCCGAGTCGAGCAGAACTACGACAATGTCCCGTTACGAAATGCATTCGTGGAGGAGGAGGAGGAGGCGGAGGAAGAGGAAGAGGAGGATGTGAATCAGGGGAGATGCAGGAGGGGAAGCAGCAGAAACACCAGGAGAAGACTGAGTGGCTGGCATCTTTCCTGCTCCCCATCAAGTGCTTCCCTGAAGCTGAAGCCCCCGTCGTTCGCTGCATGCCTGAATTTCTACACCCCGTTTCACCTGTTGCTTCCCCCCCACCCACACACACACTTACACACTTCACACAACACCCACAAACACGAAAGCTGTACTACGGACGGACGGCCTCTAAACCCCAAGGAGACGAGGAATAGGATATGCATCCCAGTGAGAGCACGAGGAGGAGGGATGGAGAGAGGGAGGAGGGCGGCGGATGGAGGAGGGAGGAGGGAGGGAGGGCGGGGGCGGAGGGAGGGCGGAGGATGGAGGAGGGAGGGAGGGAGTAGGGCGGAGGAGAAGGAGGGACGAGGAACGATCCCCGAACGCCCGCCACGTGGCCGCTCCAGTCCGCTCCTTCCCTGCGTACGTTTGGGCTCGCGCCTGGCCCGCGCCCTCCCCTCTGGGAGGAAAGCCGGCGTGAGGCGCCGCCCCTCCCCCCAAGCCTTTTGGAGAGGACTGGGCCGGCAGCGCGGGCTGCGCGGTGCTGGCAGCGGGGGCGCGCGGGGGCGGGGGCGAGGGAGAGGAATGCGTGGGCACCTTCTTTGCCACGGGGGCCTCCGGTCGAAGCCCTCGAATTGAGGGGCCGACCGTCCTGGCAAACCTGCAGGCCCTCCAGCCGGAACCCAGCACGCAGTCACGCTGGTCCCGGGCAGGCTGTGCTGCCCGGCGGAAGGGGAGGAGGGGAGAAGCAGGCAGACGACGACGAACGCGCAGGCGGGAGGCCAGGGCCAGCGGGCCGCGCCAAAGGGGGGCCAGGCGTGGGCATATCCCAAGCGTGGTTAGCCTTTGAGAGCATGCCCTCGAACAGATCGCACAAGCAGACCCGAGTGCGAACACGTTTCCGGCAGACCGCTTGGCGTAACCAGAGGAAGGGACGACGGCGAATCAGCACCGTTCCAAGCTCCGCGCCGATTTCGTGGATCAGTGCTGGACGACTCCCTGGCGCGCGGAGCGCCCCAGAGGCGACGCCAAACGGTCACAATGCAAATGTAAGACGTCCGCGCGGAGTCGGAAAATGTATCTTTATGCAAGCTGTTCTTCAAAACTCGAACTAAACAATGTTTTCCGTCATGGTGTTGTTTTCGTTGTCCCTCGTTCTGTCTTCGTTCTGCCTTTGGTGCAAACGACATCAAAACATAAATGGTCCACGAAATCGCCAAAAGGCCGATTAGCTCAAACCCTGCTGTCACCTTCGACGAAATGAGTGCGTCCTTCTCATCGGTCCGTAGGCTTCGGGAGGGGAAGACCCAAGAGTAGCGGTGCCACGACTGTTGAAGAGGCCCGAGCCTGAAAAGAATGCCACCGCATCGCCCAAACACTTCGCTTCCACCCTTGTCTCCCTCCCCCATACTTCCCCATCCGTCCCTCGAAAACCCTAATTGTTTATGATTACCAGCCGATTGCAACCGTGCGGGTGTTCTACACTGTGCTGGCACTAGAACCCCGCGCGCGCTTCGCGCGCTTAGATTGCGACAGCCCTTGACAAAGTCACGGCTGCACGCATTAACATGTTCACGGGTGCACGCATGCGCGTATCTAGGAATGGCCTCAGCTCTAGCGCAAGTCTTTCTCAAAACAATGAGTGCATGCCGCGATGTGTCTCGGCATTCATCCCAATACGTATTATGAGACCTTGATTAACTTTGAGGGGCACGGGCTCAGGGCCAGGCTGCGTGTTCAGCTCGGAAGTGCTGGAAGCCTTGAACCTTTCGAGGCTGGAGGTGCCGTCGCGCGCTTCACACGCGCTTTTGCTTTGGCACGTCTCAACGTTACCCCACAAACGTAACTACACGCACACATTCATACACCCGTCCGCTCTTACACCAGTACAACCATACATCCATCCATACACCACATCATCCGGAATGGATGAATACCTTCATCCAAATACCTTCATCCAAACAACCAACAACCACACACATGGATCACCTGTGAAATTATGTATCCAAGTATCCGTCAATTAATTCCTCACAGGCATCCATACGCCACAAACCCATCCAGCGTCCATACATGCATTTATCAAATCAGAGTGAGGGGGTCATTGTCCCTGGGTGCGTGGCTGAATACAGAACTCGTGGTGAGAATTATGATTGTTGCGTTGTTGATGGTGCTGTTGTTGTGTTTGGTGTTGGTGTTGGTGTTGGTGTTGTTGTTGGTGTTGTTGTTGGTGTTGTTGTTGTTTGTTGTTGTTGGTATTGTGGTTGTTGGTGTTGTTGGTGTTGGTGTTGGTGTTGGTGTTGCTGTTGTTGTTGCTGCTGTTGCTGTTGTTGTTGCTGTTGCTGTTGCTGTTGAACATTATTTCTTCTTAAGAATAATTATTGTTGGGACCCCTGGTGCACGACCCCCCCGCCGCGCCTAGGCCGCAGCCACATTTTCATTATTTTCGTGAGGAAGTCTCAGGCAAAACGATTGGTACCGGATCCGGTTGTTTTGTTGAAGCTCGTTTTCCCTTGCAAAAAACATCATAAAATGAAAATTCTTGTTCTTACTTGATCAAATTGCAAGAATCCCTTGCAAAAAATAAGGTAAAGTGGACATTCGTGCGCGCAAGACGAAATCCTTCCAAAACCTTAGGTTTCGTAGCGATTTTAACATAAAAACATCAAAAACCCAATGGTTTTTTAAGAAAAAATTGTCAAAATGTCCTTCCGCGCGCGCTGTCCGAATCCCACAAAACCAATGGTTTTTCAACATTTATGTTACATGAGCTCGCGCGAGCTACTTTTTCTTGTTCTAACATAATCAAATTTCAATAATCCCTTGCAAAAAATAAGGTAAAGTGGACATTCGCGCGCGCAAGACGAAATCCTTCCAGAACCTTAGGTTTCGTAACGATTTCAACATAAAAACATCAAAAAGCCAATGGTTTTTCAAAAAAAAATGTCCAAATTTCATCCCGCGCGCGCTGTCCGACTCCCACAAAACCAATGGTTTTTCAACATTTATGTTACATAAGCTCGCGCGAGCTACTTTTTCTTGTTCTTACATAATCAAATTTCAACATCCCTTGCAAAAAAAAGTAAAGTGGACATTCGCGCGCGCAAGACCAACAAAAAACACGACGATCTCAGGAACTTGCCCCAAAAATGTGACCAACTCCGCTCTCTCTGTCTCTCTCTCTGTCTGCTCTCTGTCTCTCTCTCTCTGTCTGTCTGTGTCATGTATTGTATTGTCACAATTGCAGGATGCTGGGCACACGCGCGCCCCGAATAAGTGACCAAGTTCTGTGGGTGTGTACCCCACGCCAGTGTAGTAGCCACGGTCGTCCGCACGCCACGAAGTGAAGTGTCCCAACGTCATAGGGCGGGAAGCTGGGTTTGGGTGGTCGCGAAGAGTCGTTTGGATATTTGGTAGAGCTTGAACTGCCCCCCCACGAAGTGGGGGTATTGTCTCGCGTCGCATGAAAACCCTGGCACTGGTGAGAACACTGAGCGTTCGGGTAAAATGATTGCTGTTGTTGTTGTTATTGTTGTTGTTGTTTGTTGTCGTCGTCGACCCGCGACCCACCCGCGACCCACCCAACGACCCACCCCGCGACCCACCCGCGACCCAACCCGCGACCCAACCGCGACCCACCCCACGACCCACCCGCGACCCACCCGCGACCCACCCCGCGACCCACCCGCATCCCACCCCGAGACCCATCCGCGACCCATCTGCGACCCACCCACGACCAACCCCGCGACCCACCCGCGAGCGACCCCGCGACCCACCCTCAAGGGCGGAAAAAACACCTGGACCCGACATTTGACGTTTACTAAAACGGCCCTGGGCGTTGACTAAACAACCCTGCCCTGTTCGATTCATTCCTTGTTTGCGTTTGCGAAACGGCTTCGCTTGTCGGGGTGATTATGATGGGTTGGATTTTCTGTCCTCTACACCCGCGACCCACCCGCGACCCAGCAGCGACCCACCCGCGACCCATGTGCGACCCACCCGCGACCTCCCCACATTGGTTTAACGACAGAATCGGCGCCTGCGGCGGGCTCCATTTATAATTTGTGGAACTTTGGCGCTTGCGGCGGGCTTCTCCAGAGTCTCGCAAACTGCCGACGTCCCCACCGCCCCCTCACTCTTATCCGCATCTGCGGGGTGCTACGTACTACATTTGTCAGGTGGGGGGCCACCCGTATGCCGCTCTAACCCGCCTTCAAAAAATCCGTAGACCCCCCAGTAGACACGAAGGTCGCCCAATACGCCCGCTGCGGCAAATCCCTCACGCGGATCGCGCTCCACAGGGAGCACCAGCCACAGCTCCAGAGACAAGGTTCGCACAGCATGCTCCCGCCCATTTCGGGACGCCCCTCACGCGAATCGTGTGCTGGAAAGAGCTCCACCTATGGCACCAATGGGCAACTTCTCATGGCGTCTTCCCGTCCATTTCGGCACATGCCTTATACGGGGCGAACCCTACATGGAGCTCCAACTGCGGCGTCAGCGCCCTTCGCCCGGCTCATGGTTTGCTGATCTCACTGGCCTTGGGCTCGTACCGCCACCGTACATGGGCTGTGGGTCGGGGGCTTCTTGGATACGTATCTGTTGGGGTCTCTTGGCGTGCTTCTCGGGCGCCTCTTTTGGGCCCCTTGGGCCTGCTGGCGGTCTGGGGGGTCCACTTGGGGCGGCAGGCTCGACATGTGAGTTGGAGTTCCCCCTCGTGGGCCCCTCTCCGGGCCATCTATAGCCGTTTGGGGCGCCTCTTGGACCGCCCTGGGGCTTTCTTGGGCCGTTTTGGGGCTCCTTGGAGGACTCTTGGGCCGTCGTGGGGCGATATTGGGGGCCTCTTGGGCCGGCTTGGACGTTGTTGAAGCCTCATATGCTGAAAATATACGATTTCCAACAGCAATAGCGCAACTCTGGCCATCCGGGGCCCTCTTGGGGAGGATCTTGGAGCCTTCTCGGGGGATCCGTGGGGGGCTTTTCGGCCGTCTTGAAGCCATCTTGAGGCATGAGGCCCTGTTGGGCCGCTCTGGTCGCTCATTTGCGCTCCCCAGAAATGCTTTGAACGGCTGCGGGGGGGGGCCCGGAAGCCCCTGAAGGTGTCCAGATTTCGGGTGCCGAAAAGGGAGGGAGGACATCCGGGAGGGTGTGCCGGCTCGGGGCCCGGGCCCCTGAGTACCCTGGTATATGGCCCTTATTGGCCCTTCTTGGGGTCGTCAGGGGGCGCTCTTGAGCAGTTTTGGTCTCCTCTCGGGCCGCCTTGAGGCACTCCAGGGCCTTGCTTGGGACGCCCCGTGGTGGTTTACAACCCCTGCTTGGCCGCCTTTGTCTCGTCGAACGCATGAAACAGCACACACACATCAAAATCTTGAAACAAAAACTTGTGGTGTTGGGTCCTCGTTTTGAAGAGACAGCGCCCCGCGTTCCTCTCCTCTCCCCTCCTCCTCCTCCTCCTCCTCCTCCTCCTCCTCCTCCTCCTCGCATGCGTCTCCCCCACCCAGGACAGCGCTTCGTGGCCCCATAGGGAGCTCCACCGAAGGCCCCACTGGGGATGTTCGCATGCGTCTCCCCCACCCAGGACAGCGCTTCGTGGCCCCGTAGGGAGCTCCACCGAAGGCCCCACCGGGGGTGTTCGCATGCGTCTCCCCCACCCAGGACAGCGCTTCGTGGCCCCATAGGGAGCCCCACCGAATGCGTTGCTCACAAAGACGGTACTCACAACTGCATATGGTTGGGTCCTTCGCCAGGCTAATTTTCACGACGATGGCATGGCACTGGCACGCAACTAGCACCAAGCCCGGGTTAGTCTCTGTGAACTCAGCGTAAACTTTGAGCCCCAGCTGAGCAGCAAGCTAAACTCGCCTGCAGGACAGCTAGAGCCCAGGAACTGGCGAAACATCCTAAATGATTTCTGCCAGCCCCTATCCGCCGATCCTTACAAATCAGGTCTTCATGGCCATGATGGTCTGGCAAGACGCCCGACTCAGCGGTGCGGGGGTCTACCGCCGCGCCCGTCTCTCGGCATCGTGGAACAGCTGCAACTGCGCTGCAACGCCGAAGATGCTTAGCGCCGACATCGCGTCATGCAGCGCAAGTCGAGAAATTCGCTGCTCCCCAAAGTGCCTACTCACGATCACCCTGCTCCAGACTCGTATGCCAGCGGCATCCTGGTCACTGTCAGCAGCTCCGCCGAAGAAATCATCGTCACCTCATGCACGAGCATCCTGGCTCGGTCCACCCGTAGTTCTGCCCCACCGACGACATGGCATCCTGCACTCCCATGCCGTTGTTGACGAGAGTCTGTACCCTGTCGGCGCACGTCGGGCAATTGCCCGGGCTGTCCCCAGGCCCGCACGCGTCGTTGGTGGCGCACGAGCCCGCGCAGGCGTACGACTTCATGCCACCCACGCATACTTCACCAACCACGCACTGTATGCCCGTATTGCCGCAATAACAAGTTTCTGGCGGAGAAGACAGGCATCCGCACCCTGGCTCCGTCCACCCGTAATTCTGGCCTACCGACGACATGGCATCCTGCACTCCCATGCCGTTGTTGACGAGAGTCTGTACCCTGTCAGCGCACGTTGGGCAAGAACCCGGGGAATCCCCAGGCCCGCACGCATCATTGACTGCACAAGAGCCCGCGCAGGCGTAGCTCTTCATGCCGCCCACGCACACCTGGCAAGACGCGCACGTCTGCCCCGTGTTGCCGCAGGCCGCACCGCTCTTGTTCTCAGTGATCGAAGCCCGCTTGCGATGGCTGAGGGCCAACAAGCTGTCCTGGTCGCATTGCTCGTCGGCGCGGGCAGAGCCCAGCAACAACGCCACCACAGCCACACCGCCGAGAATCGAGCGCGCCATTTCCTAATGGGAATCCGTCGCCTTCGGCAACGCAAGATCGAAGCAACAGCGAGTCTAAAAACAATGTGAACCAAAACTCGAGCCTAAACGACTTGAGCTAAAACGGCTACGGACAATCCTAAAACAAACACCTTGAAACGTAACAGTGTTCGCCTCCTGGGGTCGTCGTGCGGCCACCTTGCAAGGCCTCCTGGAGCGCCTTTTAGGACTGCTTGGGGCCAGCTGCAGGCTTCCTGGGCCGGGTAACTCGAAGTGCTCGCTCGCGCTCCCTCTCTTTGGCCCCTCTTTTGGGGCGGTCTGTGAGGCCTCTTGAGCCATCGCGGTCTCCCCTCGGGCCGCCTCGGGGCCCTCCAGGGCCTTGCTTGGGACGCCCCGTGGTGGTTTACGGCGCTTCTTGGGCCGTCTTTGGCTCGTCGAAAGCATGCGAGACCGATACGACGAAAACGTATAACCCCCCCACCAAAAACTGACAAGTTCCGCCTTCTGAGGTCGTGTCGCGGTAACCTGGTGCGGCCTCTTGGACCGTCTCATGGGCCGCTGGGGGCCATCTGGGAGCATCTTGGGACAGTATCGTCGCCATTGGCTCTTCTTTGGGTCCTCTTGGAGAGTTCTTGGGACCCTCACGACCTGTGGTAATTTACGGCGTTTCTTGGGCCGTGCCTGGCGCGCCGGAAGTGTGGAAAGTCGAATACAACGAAGGACTACAACAACCGATGGAAAGCATGCAGATTTCCTCCTCTAGAATCGGCTCAGGGTCACCTCGGGAGGGCTTCTCGGGTCCTCTCTTGGGCCCTCTCTTGGGCCTCCCTTGGGCCTCCCTTGGGCCTCTTGAGGTGCTCTGGGGGCACCTTGGTGCGGAAGCCTCGAAGTGCTCATTCGTGCTCCCTATCTTTGGCCCTTCTTGGGGTCGTCTGGGGGTGCTCTTGAGCAGTCTTGGTCTCCTCTCGGGCCACCTTGGGGCCCTCCAGGGCCTTCTTCGGGACGTGCTGTGGTGGCTTACGGCGCTTCGGCAGTCTTGGGCTCGTCGAAAGCATGAGAATACCGATACAACAAAAACCTACAACCACCCCAAAAAACCAACAACTTTCGCCTCCTGAGGTCGTGTCGCGGTAACCTTGTGAGTCCTCTTGGACCGTCTCATGGGCCTCTGGGGGCCATCCTGGGACAGTATTTTCGCATTTGGCTCTTCTTAAGGCCCTCTTGGAGCCCTCTTGGGATCCTCTTGGACCCCGGCCCCACATTTGCGGTCGGGGGTCGTGCTGGGACGCCTGCAGAACATATCAAACAACCACCAACCTGAAGAAAAGCACGCGATCCTGGCCAATTCCCGCATCGAGTAGCACGACCTGACAGCAAACATGTTCTAGGACTAGACAAGGGCAGTTGATGTCCCGATTTGGGCTGTGAGCTTGGATTGTCGAAGGCTTTTGATCGTGTAAATTCGTCGGCTTTGTGGTCGATTTTGCGCGGGCAGGGTGTAATCGTCCGAACACCTCATATGTGGATTGCAAGTGTTTTACGGGGACCAGACCGGGCAGGTGAAAAGCAACACAACGCAGCGAACCTTTCGACATCCGAGCTGGAGTCCAGCAGGTTTGCGTTCTCACCCTCAGGCTCTTCTGCTATTTGCTGGAGTGGGCGAGGGCTCGCTGGCGACGAAAATCTGGATCAGGAGGTTTTGACCTGGGCGCTGGGCCACGTCGCTCAGTAAGTTTACGTTCGGCTGGCTGTTTTGCGTTCTTCGCAAGAACGTACTTTAAAAAGGGCGGCGATCATTTTAACGTCGTCGGCGGGGGAACTCGCCGCGGTAGGCCTCACGCGAATTGCCGACAATACTGTGGCCATCCATGACCACGGATGCGCAGCCGCTTGACAAACGTGTGCTTCCATTTGATATATGCTTCAAACGAGTACGTTCGCACATGTGCGTGGGATGCATCTTGTCTGCCGACGTATCAAGGCAATAATACAGTCTGAAAGCTGTTGCGAGGGCTTCTACGCGGACTGGTGGATCTTCACAGCGAAGCACGTCTCGGTTGAACTGCGTCTGAAGTTCAATCATGCTGTCATCACCTTGCTTTGTTTGGATATGTGCACCGCTTGGTCTTTGCAGGAGAAAGGAACATATTGGACGCTGACTGCCGCAAGCTTCTTAGACAAGTTGTCGGGCCACCTGGTGTGATTGATTGGGCCAGCCCATAGCATGATATTTCACATTGAACGTGGCACAAGCGCGTATCCAAAAATATCCAAGGTACTCAGGCCAAGCTGTGGTCGGAAATTGAAACTTCGTCGGGTACGTCGCCAACCCGCCTGCCGAGATGTCGGTGCCCAATGTTCGTGCAGGGTCAACTGCCGGAAGCAGGTCACAAGGATGGCCGCGCAAAACGTGGGATTCTGCTGTCTAACGCTTCTGCAATGGGTTTGGGATCGGTGACTGGAGAGTGGCAGCCAAAGAAATGCACTTCTAGAAGAGAAAGACAAGAGATGTTTGTTCCTACTATAGAAAATCCCTTTTCTCCCTCCCTCCCTCCCTCCCATCCTCCCTCCTTCATCACCCCTTCAATGATGTTAACATACCTGATCGATACTTTTCCCTGCCCTCTTGCCCCCTGGTATCATGTCCGGCCGGGAACTCGTGTGGGTGGTACGTCAAGGTGCTGTTCCCAAGATCTGGTGGGCTCCTGAACAAAAGTTGCTGTTTCCCTCCTTCCATCCTTCTCCCCATGAACTGTTCTGAACCACATGAACTATTCATGGACGAAGACGGCACACGAATAATGTGACCAGGCCAAAGCGCAGAAATATCCACAGCCTCAGCGCAGGGCCAGGCGGGCCGAAACATGGAGCAAGGAAGGGGTGGCAAAAGCAAGCCAAAGGAGAGACGAGGGAGGGAGGCAACCGAGCCAAGCAAGGAGCACAGCCGAAGCGGCGGACTGGCGATAGCCCGACCAGTACAGTAAAACCAGCCAGAGAACGGCAACGCAAATACACGAATCCATGGGCGGCCAACCCACACGCAACAGACAATGTCTGTGCACTATCGAAGCCCACCCGCAGGTGCGAACGCTCGGGAATTTGAGCCATCATGCCGAGCACGTGCAGAGATTTGCATCTTGGGTCACGGCTTCCAGAATGCAGGCGAGATCGCCCAGGGAGTAACCCGGCGAGTGCACCGCGGAGCAGCAACGAGCACGCGCGTCGACCCACAAATCTTGCACCGCATCAGCCGCGGACCTAGCAGAGAGTGTCTGCACGTACCTGCCAACAACACGATTCTTAATGGCTTGCGCTGCTGCCCGTGCTCCCACATGGACAAAGCGCGTTTCGGAAGAGACACATGAAAAGTCCTCAAATTTGGAAAATCAGGGAGGCCCCGAAAAACAACCGGATGGCGTGAGCCAAGACAATTGTTGAGCAAATCCTGACCGGTATGTTGAAGAGCATGTTCCTCGAAAACAACACCACTTGACCGTGGTCTCTTGGGCGAAGGGGCGCCCGGAGGCGAGCGCGATGAACAATTCCTTGAATGGACTTCGCGCACAGATCACACAAACGAGACGAAAGCCTCGTGTCCAGCGGCGACGGCAACCACCTCGCCCATCACCTTCGTCCGAATCGCTCGAATCCGTACTTATTTAGTGAATTAATTGTCAAAGCCAACAACACCAATAATACCATGAATTAACGCCCGTGGGCTAAACCAAAATCTGATCTCGCTGATATCTCCGTTATTGTAGTGATGCCCCATGTCGACCGTGATATGTGCGTGTGTGTGTGTGTGAGCCAACTGTACCAGAGCATCCAGAGGGACAAGAGCAACCTCGTTGAACAGGCGACGCCTGAACATGTCCGTGCTGAACATTGACTTTGCATTTGCCACGCCCGCGCCCTGCAGCAGCTGAGAATGCGAACGATGTGGCAACGCCTGATACTAGCAACGACGACCGTCAGGGAGAGGACACACTCAGAGAACGCAGGTGCACTCGCAAAGCCATGGGGCCAAGCACGTGATTGAGCCAAACCGATAACGATGATGATGACGACGATGCTGCTGCTGATAAGTGTGATGCTGATGTTGATGCTGATGCTACTGCTGATGCTGAGGAGGATGCAGAAGACGTGGAGGAGGAGCAGCGGCGGATGCTTTGCTCTTGGGCCCTCCTCCCTCAAGGAGGGGCCGCGGCCTCCTCGTCGTCCCCGCCGCGGGCCCTCCGGGCGGCAACGATGGGGCGCCAGCATGCGGGGACGCGGCACGCGTGCGCCTGGCAAGGGGGTGGGAAAGGCGGAGCAAAGGCCAGGACACAATCGGCGATGGACGAATCGGCGATCCCTAATCGGCCGTTGGCAAGACTGCGAAATATAAACATGCGTACATGCATGGATCGATGTATCTGCCTCTCTCTGTGCCTCTGGCGTGTTCTTGATGTCCATACGCTGCCATTCCTTCGCTGACCGACTCCAGGATTAGTTAGTCCCCATTCCAGGAACTATAACTGCCGCCACTCGAAGAAACACCAGCTACGGCAGACCTGGCTCAGGGATTCAAACCCATTGTGAACCATCGGGGCCGAACATCACCAAATGTCTCCCCTGGCCTGGGGTCCTGGCGGTGTGCGATCTACGATCTGGCGGCACTGGAAAATGCCTCGGGCGCCGCGGCCGTTCCAGAACGCTCTTGGAGCGCCCCCTTGCTTGGGGTCCTGGCTGTATGCGATCTAAGATCTGGCGGCTCTCGAGGATGCACCGGGCGCCGCGGCCGGTCCACGGGAGCGCACCGGGAGTTTTCCCAAAAGCTCTGGAGCGAGTTGTCCCCGACCCGCCCGAAGGGAGGGCGGGCACGCGCAACAGTGGCGCGCACCGCTCTCGCCTCGGCCTCCACGGGAGGGAGGCCGGTCCCGGAGGAGGGCTCCTCCGATTCTTGGGCTCCTCCTCCTCCTCCTCCTCTTCTTCCTCCTCCCCCTCCTTCTCCTTGTCCCTGTCCGCATCCTCGTCCTCGTCCTCGTCCTCCTCCTTCTCCTCCTCCTCTTCCTCCTCCTCGTCCTCCTCCTACGTCGCGGGAGGGAACGCTCGAGGCGTGGGCCCCTCCCCCCCTCCATCCTCCGCTGCCGTGTTCGCCGTTTTCGGGATCCCGGGTCCCTCCACGGGCCCCAGGAACCGTCAAGAAAAGCTTTCTCGAATTCTCCTCCGATCGAGCCACGGAGCCTCTGCCGCCGCAGGGCGGAGAGGGGTCCCGAGGGAATTGGGGCCTGGAGATGTTTCGGCGTATTTCTGCCTCTTGGGGCCCTCCACGGGCCCCAGGGGTCCGTCAACGAAACGGCTGAGGATGAAAGCGGTCGCCAGAGCCCCCCCCCACCCACAGCCCTGTGCTTTCTTCCTCGTCTTGCTTATCCCCCCCTCCCACCCGCACCAGTGGGGCTCTCTGCAATCAGCCTGAGCCAGCAGGCGTGGCTAGCGCTGCGCTGCTGCTGAACGCCGTGCTGCCTGCGCGCACTTCACCCCAGACGTGCTGCACTCTTGAGCTCTTTCTGCTCTCGTGGCACTCGGGGCCTCCGGCTGAGCAGCAGGAGGGAGGCCCCCTGTCGTCCGAACCGATGAGCGCTGATCGTGATTTAACCGACCTCCGTCCTCACTGAATAGCCCTGACCCCACTGGCCGACTCTCCCCCCCAAAACGGCAATGCATGCTGTTTTCTTCGGGCGTCGCGGGACCTGCCCCCACCCGAAGGGGTGCGTCGGGGGGCTTCTAAGGAGCCATGGCCCAATGGGGACTCGAGCACACTTAGGGATCCGTGGGAATGGCGCGCGGGCGCCGGATTCACGGGTCGGTGAAAATAGATTCCGAAACACGAGGCAAAAGCCGCCCGGTTTGGCGACGGAGCGCGGCGACTGTGTACGGAAGCGGGGCCCGCCGCTGACCCGCGCGCCGTGGTCCATGATTTTCTTTAGACACAGGGCCAAGTGCCTGGGTCGTGCCGAACGGAACGGTTGACGCGGGATGCCGGGGGCACCCTCGTCGTCGTCGTCGTCGTCACCCTCCTCCTCCTCCTCCTCCTCCTCCTGATCCTCCACCTAAGACGAAACCAAGACGAGATGAAAATCGGGTGAAGATAACAAATCGAGAATCTCTGAATCTCGCGGCTCTGGACAATGTCTCGGGCGCCGCGGCCTTCTCAAAGCGTTCTGGATCGCTGTGCAAAGCGTTCCGGAACGCTGTGGAACGGATTTATCCTCGTCCTAGTCCAGCCCGACTCCCACCTGTCTCGTGGGGAAACAAGAAAGCATCGATATCGTTACTCCGAGGACATCTCGACCTGTCCCTGGGTGCGTTCCGGCAAAGATTTCGCTGCGAACCTAACCGTGGCGTCGAGGGATGGGCAGCGGCATCGGTCGGTGGATGGCACTCCTCTGGTCTCGGCTCCGCACTTCTGGAGACGCGGCTGACCCCAAGGAGGACGAGGAGGAGGAAGAAGAGGAAAAGGAGGAGGAAGAGGAGGAAAGGAGGAGGAGGAGGAGGAGGAGGAGGAGGAGGAGGAGGAGGAGGAGGAGGAGAGAGGAAGGAGGAGGCAGGAGGAACAGGAGGAGGAGGAGGAGGAAGAGAGGAAATATGGAAATGGGGAGGATCCAGCCCTCGAGAGCCCCCTGGAGGGGCAACGGCGCCGCGAGGCGGCGCGGCGACGCCGCGACGAGGGGGGGGGGCCTGCCGGGCGGCAGCCGGCGGCCGCGCTGGTC